TATATATATATATATATACACGTACACCGAAAAAATTGTATTCTTGTTTTGAGGAGATATCCCACTTACTTTAAGTATATTTTATACTAAAATAGNCGCCAAGAAGAGTTTCTTATTTTAAGAGAAAAATTCTCTAAATAGTAATATTGATAAGAATATATACTGATTAAAATATAAAAAGCCTCTATAGAAAAACATATATATCTCACTATCGAAAAAGACTATATTCTTAAATTAAGAATATATTGTTAAAAATAAAGAATATATTCTTAATTTCAGAAGAATATCATCTAAAATCTTTAAGAAGATTTTTTAAGTATAAAATCTTCTACTTACGAGAATATCATTTTTTCGGTGTAATACCGCAATGTTGTACTTGCGCTACGCAGAAAGTACCGGGCAATGCGTATTACCTATTAATTTTCCTACGTTGTTTTGAATAAAAGAGAAACGTTCTTGCGCCGTGCTGCGCGCCTGTGTCTTTCCCGACACATGTTCTCCCCATAGGTTGTAATCTCGACAATAGTTGAAAACTTTTGAGAAAACATCGCGAACGCACGGAAACGTGTGATTTTGTTGTGTTGATTTTCTGTTTCCGTGCGACGCAACGCGTCACTCCTCGCGTGAATAAAAGATCAAAGAAAGAATCGCCCTCGCCCCCTCGGGGGCGGGAGCAGCAAAGATACCTTTACTTCTTGCGCGTCCTCGCAGTGAATCGTCAAGTCAATTCGATCAGCTTGCGAAAAGAAATCGAACGAGAAACAAATAATTTCGACAACTTTGTTTAAATCATTGTTTGCAACTGACGCAAAACAAGCTGTTGATTAAATTAATATTAAGTAGAGAATATACATTTGAAGTTTTATTTAAAAAAAAAACGTGTATTTACAAAACTCATATTGTTTTTCTTTTTAAAATTAATTCGAGCAATTGATTGATTGGTGTGACAAGTTTTGTGGTTATAAAAAGACACGCGAAAACAATTAACTGAATATTTAATTAAAAAGTCCTCCGAAGAAGAAAGAAGGAAAATTGTCGAATATAATATTCTTGCAATCATGAAAGAAACCAAAGATTGGAACGATGAGACTTACTACGCCCTGAGTGTTCACGAAAAAGTTCTCGATATAATCGGCGCTTGGCCACTGACTGCTAGAGAGTTGAAATCAATCGCGAGATGCTCTTTGGCAATTCTAATTCAGGTAAATATAAATATGTCGCGGATAAATGAGTAATAAAAATAATTATAGAAACGTAAAAGCTTGTATGTAGGGTAAAAGACCCAATTACCGTCACCTGAATAATAAACTCTGGCGTTAGTGAATTGTTTTTACTACTTATTTATCAAAAACATGTGTTTTTCTTCTTATCTGGTATTATTCGATGTCTCTAATATAAGNAACAAAATAATACCGCCTCTCAAAATCTCTATTTTTATTTATAAATTTAATAATTAAAAAAGAACGATGCGAGAGCTATTACTGTCACCCCCTAAAATGAAAGAAATGAGACGCGAATGTTGAGTGCTGGATTTTTTGTTATATTAATTGCACTTAAAATTCTATGTTAGATTGTTTTCATGTGTAACTTTTAAGGATTTATTTAATATTTTAAATAAAATAGCTTGGGGTGACAGTAATTGGACAGGTGACAGTAATTGGGTCTTTTACCCTATGTATATATATAAATTTTCCTCTTCATTTTTACGGTTTTTTTGAACAATTATCTTATCATTTATCTTATTTGAGTAATTAACCTTCGGAGAACACACCTATTTTTTCAATCAAGAAGAACAATCTGGGTTAATTTGACCCTGTCCACTTTTTGAGATGCTATCATTTAAAATGCACTTATCCGATTGGCTTGAAAAAATTTTCGGATATATTTTGAACAGTTTGGAATATATAGTTTTAAAGTGTCGTTAACATTATTAACGTTGTAAAAAATATGTTACAAAAAAGCAAAATTGAAGCAAAATATTTTGATCAAAGTCGACGAACAGGGGGTCAAATTGACCCAGTGTGTTCTCCGAGGGTTAAAAGACCGTCGCGAATTAACGCGATCTCGTCGGCGATCAGATCAGTACTATCGGCAGTCTGTCTCTGGAGGCTTACCGGCAGTGTCTCGGCACCGAGGACATGATGGAGGCCTTTTTAATGGATCTCTCGTCCGTCGTCAGTCTTTCCAAGCTGGTGGTTGTACGTCTCACTTGGAGACACACCTACGTTCTGGTGACCTCGCTCATCGACGACTGGTCGTTATCCAGAGACACGCGGCAGCGGAAGATCATGATGAGATACACCAACTTGGGCAGAATCGTGTCTCTGACGATGTTGTATCTGGGCTACGCGTCAGGTGTGTCTTTTCTCTTCATGGCGATGCCTTTCGACAGTCTCATACCCTGGCTGAACGTGTCCAAAGCGAGCGATCGTAACAACGACACACTAATGCCAACGACCTATTTCTTGGCGACCTATTGCGTTTTCGGATCGCTTTCCACGATCGCTCACGTTTGCGTTCTGTTGCTGCAAGCGGCTCAGATCTTCGTCAACGCGACTTCGCACTGCGGAAACGACGGTTTCTTCTTCGGTCTCGCGATGCACCTGTGCGGTCAGTTCGAGATGCTCGAAATGGACTTCGCCGACGTCGAAGCGGAAGCGCGAGCTTGCAAGACGAAATTGCGAACGTTAATCGGAAGACATTGTAGGCTGATAATACTGGCCGACAGTCTCGAGCACGCTTTCAACATGGCGATCCTCGCGCAGTTATTGATGAGCGTGCTGCTGCTCTGCGTGGAAGGTAACTTTGTTTCCTGAAATTTCACTGTCCGTTTTCATTTTACATTTTGTGCGCACATTTTGTTTAATTCAAAATTACTGTAAATATAATTAAATGTAAAATTTATATAAATTGATTTAATTATTAAATAAAACTTTTAATTTTTATATATATATATAAAAAAAAAATTGATTTAATTATTAAATAAAATTTTTAATAAAACTAAAACGAAATAAAAATTCAAGAAATAATTTGAATCAAAAATTGTCGTAAGAAAAAAACATTTCTCATTTTTTACGCTCGCTCGCGCACAGGCATGCAATTGATAATCTCGCTGAAACTGAACGACAACATCGCATCGATAAAACACGTTGTTCTGATTCTGACAATGTTGGTGCAACTCTATCTTTACTGCTACGCCGGTAATCAGCTGGAATGTGTAACCGGGAGAATCGCGGGCAGCGCGTACGATAGTCCGTGGTACGAGTTCGACGTGAAGATAATGAAAAATCTGTTGCTGGTGATGCTTCGAGGAGAAATGCCGCATCAAATAACAGCTGGCAAATTTCTACCTATGAATTTGTTCTCCTTCAAAGAGATTCTGAAAGCCACCGGTTCTTACCTTTCGGTTCTCAGAATGATGATAGACGTGTAGAATATTCTTGCGTAACTCAAACGTAAAAAAAAAAAAAAAAAAAAAAAAACTATTGACATTGCTGCATCTCTCGTCTCTCTGATTTCTACAGGCTCTCGTGTATCTTGATCAGTATCATAAAAATTTTTGTATATAAACATATTTATATTCACGTTATACAATTAAATAATTCACAAAACGCACGCGACTTTTTCTACTTAATACAAAAATACATACTCTATAAAAATGATTGTTGACGTCACAAAAGAAGATCCGGAATGTCTTTATTAAAGAAACCATCTCGCGAAACGACGCGTGCAAATCAAATAATCATTGCCGGGGGGCGATTTTTCGCCGGCTCTTGTTTCAAAAAATAAAAAAGTTTTTGTTAAATGTCACTAGATATTATACAATATGAAATACGTTCACTCACACACACAGCCACAAAAGAAAACCCCGGAAAGAGTCTTCGTCGAAATATATTTTTTTCACCCGACGAATGTGTCAAACTTCAACAACGTACAATATTTTACAGGTTTTTGTAGTTTCCGTTTCTCACTTAAAATGCACTTTCATCGCCGCTAAGCACTTCAAAAAAAAAAAAAAAAAATTAATATTTTTACACTAAATTTTTCTCCGCCTTTTTGTCAGAAAAGCATTGCGGAAAATAACGGAAGAGACCGTGAAGACACCGATCTTTGTTCTCACTTATCTTATCTACCGGCGCGAGAAGGCTTCCGCGCAAACTAATAAAACATGAGTTAACTGAAGTAATAACGAAAGATGGCGCAATTGAAAACTTTCAATAAACGTCTGGCGGAAAACGATCGTAAATCGATGGTTAAATTGGCAAACTTTCGCTCGTGGCCGAAGAAAGTAGTTTTGGAACGAACAGTCATTTTGAGGCTTTTTCGTTCGCTAGAATGTCGAATGAACGTTGGAACGACGACATCGCTTACGCTTTCTCCACTCACAGACTGTGTTTGAGAGTATTCGGTGTGTGGCCGTTGCAAACGCAGAAAGTGTTCGCGAAGACGTTATGGATCTCCTGGGCAATTGGACTGGTACGTTTATGTAAAGAAGAAAATTATATTAAGGACGTTCTCCGAATTATTGATTTTCTTTAAATTTGCGATATACGTAGTTTATGATCTTATTTATACGTAGACTTTTTGGATAATAGGGGTAGCGATGTTAAATTCCAAAATATGGAAGATTTATATTTCAATTTTTAACTTGGATTTCCTATGCTGAGCCTTTGTGAAGTGGGATTTTTTTAAATTACTGACGACAATTTTCTTAGGATTTTTTAAAGAAACAAGTATGTGGTAGTGGAGAGTGTCCTAATTAAAATACGATTTTGAATAATATGGCAAGCAACCTTTTTTTCAAACTGTAGCTTTTTTTTTATTTTTTTTTGTTTTGCTGGATTTATGTGCGCTGTGTACTGCAGCTATTTTTCAACTTCTGCGCAGAGTAAGCAGATCTTAGCAGTGCTGAATAGCTCAACTTAACTTTGTTACAGCAGTACAAACTTACTCATGAGAAGAGATATTTTAGGGTTGCTAACCACTGTAGTCGGAGAACGTCCTTAATTCAATAGGTTTTCTTTTTTTTTTAGATAACAAATTGACAGAACTTTTTTCTATAAACTTTTTTTTAATATTTTTTTATTCAAAAAATAATAATTGTTTTATCATATCGCTATTATTGTTTTACCACTTATTTTAACACTTTTTCTATGCGATTATTTTTTTTATTATTACACACACTTCGTAGTTTTTTACTTTAATTACACATCTGTGTGCCTTTGAATTTTTTACGATTAAGATTGTTGTTTAGATTTTGGTGCAGCCGTTTATAGTTATCGATTTTATTTCGAGCAATGAGAAAGTTGGTTCGAACATAGAAACGATATTGCAAGGAGTATCCGCGATAATTTCGCTTACCAAACTTTTGTGCATCGGTTTCGGTCAAAAGAAATTAGGCACAAATATCAACGCCGCCGCCGATGATTGGCTGTCCGTTAAAGACGACGAGAAAGCTAGAAAGATTATGAAAAAGTACGCGGTTAGATCCAGACGGCTTACCTTTTTGTTGCTATATTCGGCTCTTGGGTGTTTTACCATATACGTGACGACCATTCTGTTGGTAAACATACAACAGTTGTTCTTCACGGATCCGAATTTGATAGACGGTAAAAAACTCTAATGTTTATTTAAATTAAGTGAAAATGGAGAGGTGTCATCTCTGGCTCTCTTTGGAAAATCCAATAATATGATTTGAATAGTCAGACTCAAGCATGTCGCACTGTACAAAGTCTACTTGTACAAAGTCTACACTGTACAAAGTCTAACTAAAAATTGTGTTGTTATAACATTGTAGTTTTAAAATTTCTTAGAATTTACTATGTGATATACATTCAATTTACTATATCGGTACGTATCTCGATATGCGACACATTTAGTCCAAACTTTATTAATTATGTATAACTTTTCTAATTATAATAATTGTGTCAATAGATCAATTGATAAGAACTTAAACAATAAAGTCGAAACGTCTTGACACTTAATTATCTACAGTTTTTTACTGCATAACATCTTGCAAAGGCTTCTGATAGCCGTTGGATTCAAATCATATTATTGGATTTATTTAAATTATTCAGAATCTTAATATATTTTTTAATCTTAGTCTATCTTATATTTTTACCTCGACGTCTCACGTGATTCTTACGACGCGCAGCTAACGCAACGACTTGGATATTTCTGATCCCATCCGGTTACTTGGGTAATTTAGTGTCCGGCGAACAGTACGCGATACTTCTGACCGTTCAAATTCTTCAAACGTTCGCCATATGTTCCTTGCAAGCTATCGGGGATACCATTTTCTTCAACTTCACGATGCATCTCACCGGCCAACTCAAAGTGCTCAAAAACAAATTCAGAACGTTCGCGGACAAGCAGGACACAGAGGCGAATTATCGAAAGAAATTCGTCGATCTGGTTAACAGACACAGCGAATTAATGGAGTATCATCAGAATTTGGAAGACACTTTTCACTTCATTCTGTTAGTTCAGCTTGTGATAATAACAGTTCTGCTCGCGTTGATAGGTAACAAAATTATGAAAGACGATTTACATTTAATTTATTTTCGAATTTAATTCACACTTTACTTCTTTTACTGAATTTATTTTACACTTCCTTGGATAAAAAAACTGCAATCTTTATTCGCAGGATTGCGTATAGATTTTTTACTAACCGAAGGCGGTGATCAGGTCGAAATGATGAAGAACACTTTCGTGATGAACTACTTACTGTTACAGTCGTTGGTGGTCACTTACGCCGCTGATTTCTTGCAGGCCGAGAGTGAAGATATATTTATAGCTCTGTACACAACTTCCTGGTTCAAGCTTCCCGTAAAGTTGATGAAGGATCTGAATTTCGCGATGATGAGATCGAGCATTCCGTTCCGTCTTACTGGCGGAAAATTCTTTTATGTTAATCGCGAGACGATGATGAACATCCTTAAGACAGCGGCGTCTTACGTTTCGGTTTTACGAATTGCGTTGCAGGAATAATTGCTTGAATATGTATGTGCATCTTTGTGAGTGCGCGCGCGGGTGTGTAAAAATTTTAAAGCGTCAAGAAAATTATGTAAAATATGCAAATATGTTTAATGAAATATTTTGAAACATATGTCTTTTGCCTCATTACTAATCATCTCATTTTAATTGTTGCCAATAGTTATCAAGTTTTTAATAAGGTTTTTTTACGGTAAATTCAAAGATTTTGTAAAAATAAATTATAAGTCATTAATATTCGAAGAAAACATTTTCTCAATTTTTTGCAAAATTTGTATTATGCAAAGATCGACACATTCCGTTTTCCTTTTTACAGACTCTTATCATATTTATACTCTGTAAAGTTCTTTCTTACTAAAAATAACTGTGTGTGTGCAAATTGTTTTCCGTCAGGCGATAGCAGAACAACAATTTCAGAAAATTGATACTCTCTACGTGACGAGATTGTTTATTTATCAACAAAAACAAGGATACTTCAACTAAGCACGTTGCTATTTCCACGTACATTTGTTATTCCAAAAAGTAGTTACGTTGAGAACAATGTAGTTTTGCATAACCGTATTATTTGCGCAAATACATATGCAGATTCAGGGGTATATCTGCGTTCTCAAAGGAAATCACAAGAGCCGAAAGCTGTGAATAATTGATCGGAAAGAAATCCAGTTGCGTCGCGGCCGGACTGTCGCGAGGGGTTGTCGCGAGTTTTGCGGGGACAAACAAATGCGGATCCCGCTTATAACAAATCGGATATCGAACGATGCAGTTGCTGTGGAAAAACAAAAGGCTTGAGGCATTTTTGAGAAGAAGAGAAGCGAAGAGAAACGAAAAGATTTCTTATTTTAATAACTAGTTAATTATTCGCAGCGCATAAATTATCCACAATCAATAAAGAAAAGAATAAAAACTTCAAATCGCAAAAGAGTGAAAACATCTAAATATGAAATCATCCGTGAAGTGGAATACCGATACGGCGCACGTTTTAACGCTTTACAAGTATGTTCTTGGCATACTTGGACTCTGGGTACTCGCCGAGAAAACTATATTTTCGAGAATTCGATGGTTCATATCGACAATACTGGAAGTAAGTTTATACCTTACAAGTATTGATAAAAACTGTTTATTTATATGTAAAATTAAATTCTTTTTTATATACCGTAAGCAAACATAGGATAAAAGACCCAATTACTGTCAGCTGAATAATAAACTCTGGCGTTAGTGAATTGTTTTTACTACTTATTTATCAAAAACATGTGTTTTTCTTCTTATCTGGTATTATTCGATGTCTCTAATATAAGAAACAAAATAATACCGCCTCTCAAAATCTCTATTTTTATTTATAAATTGAATAATTAAAAAAGAACTATGGAGAGCTATTACTGTCACCCCCTAAAATGAAAGAAATGAGACAAGAATGTTGAGTGTTGGATTTTTTATTATATTAATTGCACTTAAAATTCTATGTTAGATTTTTGTCATGCGTAACTTTTTAGGATTTATTTAATATTTTAAATAAAATAGCTTAGGGTGACAGTAATTGGGTCTTTTACCCTATCACAAAAATATTATGTAATTAGTCGTGAATAAAAAAATTTTAATAAATAAAAATACAAAATTTTGCAAGTTGGAAAAGTGCAGTGTTCTTGTGCAAGAGTTATTTTAACAAGAGAAACGGACTATTAAATCTCACATGTGAATACTCACATATTAAAATTAAAATAAAGCATTTTCATAAAAAAAAAATTAGTAATTAATCTTATTTTATTTTTGTGAACCAGATGAGTACGACAGTTACGTTGTCGTTGGAAGTAATTCGGCACTGTCACGATCACGAGGACACACTCGATGCTTTTTTATTCGCGTCTTCGTCCGTGATCAGCATGTCCAAGCTGCTTCTGCATCGCATTAATTGGAGACACAAGTTAATTCTAGTGGAGGCCATTATTCACGATTGGACTTTCGCGGAGAGTCGGCGGTCGCGCGACATCATGCTGGAATACGCGCGTCGAGGCAGACGCATATCTCTCGTGTTGCTCTATCTCGGCTGCACCTCCGTCGTGTTTCTCTTCGCACCTTTCGCATTCGCCAACGTCGATTTGCCATGGATTATCGAGAAGCAAGTTTACAACAAATCCGAAATGAAATTACTGCTAGCGGCTTACTGCGTTTTTGGAAATTACACACCCTTCACTTACGCGTTCGTTGTGATCTTGCAAGCGTTGCAGATTCTCGTCAACTGCATCTCCCAGTGCGGAAACGACGGATTCTTCTTCACTCTTACCATGCACGTGTGCGGACAGTTCGAGATTCTTCAAATGAACTTTGCTGAAATAAATAACGACAAATCTTTTAGCCGATACAAACTCGGGATCTTGTTGAAGAAACATTGTCGTCTCATCTTTCTGGCGCGTTATCTGCAAAAAGCTTTCAGTCTGGTTATTTTGTCGCAACTTTTGATGAGCGTCATACTCTTATGCGTCGAAGGTACATCTCGCGTCAAATAAACCGGATTTATAAAATATATACACCGAAAAAATTATATTCTCGTAAGTAGAAGATTTTATACTTAAAAAATCTTCTTAAAGATTTTAGATGATATTCTTCTGAAATTAAGAATATATTCTTTATTTAAAATTATATTCTTTTTCGATAGTGAGATATATATGTTTTTCTATAGAGGCATTTTATATTCTAATCAGTATATATTCTTATCAATATTACTATTTAGAGGATTTTCCTCTTAAAATAAGAAACTCTTCTTGGTGCCTATTTTAGTATAAAATATACTTAAAGTAAGTGGGATATCCTCAAAGCAAGAATACAATTTTTTCGGTGTATATATACGTTTATTTAAAGTATCTGCGTAAAAAGTTTTTGAGCTAATTAAATTCATGTTTCAGGTTTTTTATTAATCCTCACTCTTATGCACGACACGTTTGCCGCCATGAAACACGTTCTCTTCATCGTCGTGCTGTTGGTGCAACTTTTCCTCTATTGTTTAGCCGGACAGACATTGGAGCTGCAATCGGAAAGAGTCGCCTACTCCATTTACGAGTCACCCTGGTACAATTTTGATACAAACATGATGAAAGATTTGCCGTTGATGATTCTTCGAGCGGCCATTCCTCACCAATTAACCGCAGGAAAATTCGTGGCAATAAATTTTATGAGTTTCAAAGAAATACTGAAAGCTTCCGCCTCGTACTTATCCGTGTTGAGAGTGATGCTAGAAACGTAAGAAAACATTCTTTAAGAAAGTTACAATAAATTTTAAACAACAAGTTTAAGTTTGTATTAATATCAAACTAATGCCAATGTGAGCCAATGCGCTAGATGTTTGTGCGGAATATATTTTATCTTACTTAAAAATCTACAAAAAAAAGTTACTTCAGTTTCTTATTATGTAACAAATCAATATCCTACTTCATAGAATTCGTGTAGGATTTTCAGTATAGAAAGGATTGAAACAAGAACTCAAATCCGTTGTAAAAAGAAATGTAATTTTAAAGAAAATATAATGAAGTCTAAAGTACAGAATAGAAATGAAAACAGCACGCAGTCTCGTTTTTGTCGCCTCACGGGCAACTTGCCGCTGATCGACACTCTCGTTTGATTGTCGCTCGAGACTGAATTCTCTAAGAGAAGTCTCAAAAACGTTCCGCTTTGTTTCAAGAACTAAGCACTTTAATTGTCAGCTCGGTAAACAAACACCATTGGCTCCATACCGTCGTTATCGTCGCCGTTAACGAGGAAAGCGAGACATCATAGGGGCTTAATTATCGCCGCTGTCGGTGAGAAGTAAACAACAACTGGAACGCACGCAGAGCGTTAGAAATATAAAACCTCTCGCAATATGTTTGATGAAATTATTTGAAACATATCTTTTGTCTCGTTACTAATCACCTCATTTCAATTGTTGCCAATATGTTATCAATTTTTTTTTCACTAAGTTTTTTTACGTAAACAAATTCGAAGGCTTTACAAAAACGCTGATAAGTCATTAACACTGATAGCCAGAGAAAGAACTTTTCAATTTTGCGGCATTTGTATAATGTTGCAAATGGTCTAGTTCGTTTGACATTACATTTTTCCCTCTTTTCAGATTCTTACCGTATTTATGATCTGTAAAGTTCTTTCCTTACTAAAAATACCTGTGTACAAATTGTTTTCCGTCAGGCGATAGCAGAACAACAATTTCAGAAAATTGATAGTCTCTATGTTGCAAGAGATTTTTTATTTATGAACAAAAACAGGAGTACTTCAACCAAGCACGTTGCTATTTCCACGTAAATTTATTATTCCAAAAAGTAGTTGCGTTGAGGACAAAATGTATAATGTTGCATAACCGTATTATTTGCGCAAATATACATGCAGATTCAGGGGTATATATCTGCGTTCTCAAAGGAAATCACAAGAGCCGAAAGCTGTGAATAATTGATCGGAAANAAATCCAGTTGCGTCGCGGCCGGACTGTCGCGAGGGGTTGTCGCGAGTTTTGCGGGGACAAACAAATGCGGATTTCCGCTCATAACAAATCGGATATCGAACGATGCAGTTGCTGTGGAAAAACAAAAGGCTTGAAGCATTTTTGAGAAGAAGAGAAGCGAAGAGAAACGAAAAGATTTCTTATTTTAATAACTAGTTAATTATTCGCAGCGCATAAATTATCCACAATCAATAAACAAAAGAATAAAAACTTCAAATCGCAAAAGAGTGAAAACATCTAAATATGAAATCATCCGTGAAGTGGAATACCGATACGGCGCACGTTTTAACGCTTTACAAGTATGTTCTTGGCATACTTGGACTCTGGGTACTCGAGGAGAAAACTATATTTTCGAGAATTCGATGGTTCATATCGACAATACTGGAAGTAAGTTATATACCTTTCAAGGATATCAGTAAAAATGTTTATTACATTGAGTTCTTTCTTATATTCTATTATACGCAAACATTTCACGGAAATATTATGTAAATGGTTGTAAGTAAAAAATCATAATATAAATAAATAGAAATTAATACGAAATTGTGCAAGTTGAGAAACAAGTTTTTATGCAAAAATCGCACAACTCTGACTTCTTTTCTAACGAGAAAAACAAAAGATTGAATCTCATGTGATATCTACGTGCATATATCTATGTATTATAAAATTAAAATGAATTATAAATTAGTGATAAATAGAGATTACTCTCGAGCTCTATAAGTCTTTTAAACTAATAATATGTAAATATAAGGACATGAAGAGCCGTTCGCAGGATGTTGTGCGTAAATGTGAGAATATATATATATGAATGCATATATATATATATGTATTCACGTGTAATATTTTTCACGTGAGTTTTTTGGAATTGAAATAACAATTCTTTAAATCAAATATGATGCTACTATTGCATCTTATATATGCAGGGTCCTCAATACCAAAAAACTCACGTGAAAAATATTACACGTGAATACATATGTATATATATATATATATATGTGCATTCATATATATATATTCTCACATTTACGCACAACATCCTGCGAACGGCTCTTCATGTCCTTATATTCACATATTATTAGTTTGAAATGAATTATCTTTATAAAAAAACTAAGTAATTAATCTTATTTTATTTTTGTGAACCAGATGAGTGCGACAGTTACGTTGTCATTGGAAGTAATTCGGCACTGTCACGGCTACGAGGAAGCTCTCGATGCTTTTTTATCCGCGTCTTCGTCCGTGATCAGCATGTCCAAGCTGCTCCTGCATCGCATTAATTGGAGACACAAGTTAATTCTAGTGAAAGCCATTATTCACGATTGGACTTTCGTAGAGAGTCCGCGTGCGCGCGATATCATGCTGGAATACGCGCGTCGAGGCAGACTCGGATCTCTCGTGTTTCTCTATCTCGGCTGCGCTTCCGTCGTGTTTCTCTTCGCACCTTTCGTATTCGCCAACGTCGATTTGCCACGGATTACCGAGAAGCAAGTTTACAACAAATCCGAAATAAAATTATTGCTAGCAGCTTACTGCGTTTTCGGAAGTTACACGTCCTTCGCTTACGCGTTCGTTGTGATCTTGCAAGCGTTGCAGATTCTCGTCAACTGCATCTCCCAGTGCGGAAACGACGGATTCTTCTTCACTCTTACCATGCACGTGTGCGGACAGTTCGAGATTCTTCAAATGGATTTTGCTGAAATAAATAACGACAAATCGTTTAATCGATACAAACTCGGGATCTTGTTGGAGAAACATCGTCGTCTCATCTTTCTGGCGCGTTATCTGCAACAAGCCTTCAGTCTGGTTATTTTGTCGCAACTTTATATGAGCGTCATACTCTTGTGTGTTGAAGGTACATCTTGCATCAAATAAATCGGATTTTTTAAAATATACAGGGTGTCCAACCTAACTTGAGTTTCTATCCTAAATATCTCGCTTATTTTTTATGATAGAAGGACGCCGAAAAGGGTCAATATTCAATTCGAGGAGACAAATACTGTAATAGACAATAAATTTTTCTCAAGATCACGTTTTTTTAGGATTTCAATGTCATTGTCATGTTTTTCACTTGAAAGTATATATTTTTATCCTCGCGATATGATACACCGAAAAAATTATATTCTTGTAAGTAGAAGATTTTATACTTAAAAAATCTTCTTAAAGATTTTAGATGATATTCTTCTGAAATTAAGAATATATTCTTTATTTAAGAATATATTCTTTATTTTTTTAAGAATATATTCTTAATTTAAGAATATAGTCTTTCTCGATAGTGAGATATATATGTTTTTCTATAAAGGCTTTTTATATTCTAATCAGTATGTATTTTTATCGATATTACTATTTAGAGGATTTTCCTCTTAAAATAAGAAACTCTTCTTGGCGCCTATTTTAGTAGAAAATATATTTAAAGTAAATGGGATATACCCTCAAAACAAGAATACAATTTTTTTGGTGTAGGCAAGGTCAAGACAAATCCAAAAAGTTCTTGTTTATTACAGTATTTGTCTTCTCTGAATAATGATTCTTTTCGGCATTTTTCTATCATAAAAAATAAGCGAGATATTTATACGATGTTCAAGTTAGATAGAGACACCCTGTATACGTTTATTTAAATTATCTGCGTGAAAATTTTTGAGCTAATTAAATTCACTATTATATTATATGTACTTACTATTACGTGATTTATTATTATATTTATTTTAGGTTTTCAATTAATCGTCACTCTTATGCACGACACGTTCGCCGCCATGAAACACGTTCTCTTCATCGTCGTGCTGTTGGTGCAACTTTTCCTCTATTGTTTTGCCGGACAAACGTTGGAACTGCAATCGGAAAGAATCGCCTACGCCATTTACGAGTCATCTTGGTACGATTTCGATACGAACATAATGAAAGTTATGCCGTTGATAATGCTACGAGCGGCCATTCCTCATCGATTAACAGCAGGAAAATTTTTGGCAATGAATTTCACAAGTTTCAAAGATTTACTTAAGGCTTCCGCCTCGTACTTATCCGTGTTGAGAGTGATGCTAGAAACGTAAGAAGAAATTCTTTCGGAAAAAAACAAAAACAAAGTTATCTAATGTTTTTATCTTATAACAAATCAATCTCTTCATATTTTATAATAAAAATTGTTACATTAGTATATTTCTTACATCGATTGCTCGGCACCGAGAATACTTACACCGTAACATAAATACGTGACAGCATATTTGGCGAGAGAAGAAAAAACATTAGACGCATTACTTTGTATTTTTCCCGCGATTGTTCCGTCGCGTTTACCAAGTTCAAAGAAAAACGATTCGATGCGCAACGGGCGTCGATCTTGTTCGCGACTACGTCGTTGTCGGTTATTTTTTATTGATTGTCGTTGCACGACTGTCAACAAACTGTCACGAGACTGCAAAAATTGCGGCGTTAAGAGCCGCGTGTTGCACGCTATACAATAAAGTGAATTATTACAAAAATAAATTGGTTGTGCGAACTTGTTTCGGAGCCACTTATCTTACTCACCGCGAGGAACGATCAATATAGTATAACCGTTCGAGCGAAGCTACCGCCACGGTAATTCTTCTCCTCGCCGTGCCTTTCATTGTGCGAATCAGCGAGCACAACGTTTTATCACGCATGACTATAATTCTTTCGAGAAGGAAAACTACCTGTTGCCGAATGAAATGAAAACAAGTTGGAACAGCGGTATGCAATACGGCTTCTCGGAGATAAGAGCGATGATGTGGATACTCGGCGTGTGGCCGTTGCAACAGAACAATCTGGCCTGCGCATTTCGCTGGATAATCATTTTTATCGCGGAGGTAAATCCTTTTTTTTTTTTTTTATAATTGACACATATAATATTTTGAACTTACGATTTACTTATCTTGTCAAACTTTCTACAGTTTCCGGAAAAATTTTAACATCGGAGTTAGACAAAGTAGTTTTAGTAACTTTTGATTATAAAATTTTGTATGCAACATTTTTATGTAAGAAATAAAATTGTATTTTTCTTTTTTTTTTTTTAATATCAATAATGATAGTTTTTATAGTTTGGCAAAATGCAAATGTGTAAAAATGCCAACCAAATGCCACCTTTGCCTATCGTATAGTCTCTCACGGTACTCAACGCGCTGATAGAATCTTTCAAGAAGTGCGGTGACGATAAAGACATTTTGGAGACGTTCCTTGTGATAGAATCCGTCACGCACTCGTGGTTAAATATTGTTTTCGCGCGTGTTTACATGAAAAAACTCATGAGCAACGTGAGTTCCGCAATGGACGATTGGTCTTTTTCATCCAAGAACACGGGATCTTACGCGATAATGATGGGATACGCTCGCATAGGTCGAATAATTACAATATCCCACATAATAATTGGCGTCTCGTCTGCTTTATTATATTTTAGCAGCGTTTACGCTGACAAGAAACAGGTGACGTTCGAATCTTACGTTTTTTTGTATAAACTTTATTAAAAATTCGCTCTTGCAAAATCGCGCGCGCGCGCGCGGAATGATATAATCTTCATTTTGTTTTTAAAAAACAGATCGTAATTATCGGTAACGACACCGTAACTTTGTGGAATTTCGCTCTTCCGTCCGCGTGTCTGTTCAAAGGAATTTCGTACACCACGTACAAAGCGCTGTTTGTTACGCAAATGTTTCAAGCGTTCATAACGTACACGGGAGAATGTGCGAGCGATAATTTCTTCTTCGCTATTACCATGCATCTTTGCGGTCAAGTGGAAATTCTGAGAAATCGCTTCGTCGATTTCGAAAGACAAATCGACGAGAAGCGCGATCATCGAATTGTATTTGGATCTTGGATCAGGAGACATTACGAGCTGACGTTGTTGGCTAAAAACATCGAGGAGTCTTTCAATATCAATATCTTGCTTCGTCTATCGATAATTACTGTGTTTATTGCGATTTCAGGTATTTCGTCATTTTAACGTGCTGAAAAAAAAAAAAAAAAAAAA